AAGGAAGTCTATTAGTAATATACAGCCCAACGAGTAGTTTACAGTTTTGTGTCTTAAGAAAACTTTATGAAAGTACTTTTGATTAGTGAAAACTTTTGATTAGTTGCGCCAAAAGTCCTTCGCAGTCGTGGGCAACAGGTTTTAAGCGCTGTTGACTTCAGTCAGTCCACACAAATGACAGTCAAAGAGAAAAAGACATTCATTTTCTTCATACCATAACTCATACCACAGAACTCTTTGTATTATTTTATTTTCTTTTGCTTTTTTGCTGCGAAAACACCATAACTTCTCTCGAAATTATGGGTTATTGTTATGTTTTAAACAAAAAGTATTGTAAACAATCAGAAACGGCAAGGATTTGTGCGAATTTAATCGATATTTTTATGAACTTATTTTATGCTAATTTTTTTGTTTTTTCTCCAAATAAACAAATGAAAGCAAATTTTAATGAAAATATAAAATAGGCTTAGAAAGACCAAGATTCACTTGACTAACTCTTAATAGATTGTATGGCCTTTTATATAAACAAATTATTTAATATACCAGTAATATTTACACTCACGAGTCAGTATAGTCTTAAATGAAATAATTTTTGTATATGTTTATGGTTAAAGTATCAATATTAAGCAATAAAATAATTTTTAATTTCAACTATAAAATTACTGTCCATGGGTTGTATGCTATATTTAAAATACAAAACTGACCAGGATATGATTTATTTGGCCTAATAATTTTGACAATATTATACAAACCATGTTAATTGAATTTATTTTCTATTTGAATATAAAGACAAATTTATTTTATTAGTTTTTATTATTATGAATAATTTTATGAATTACTCGAGAAATAAATAAAGTACTAAAAAATGAATTCTAAGAAATTGAAAGCAAAATGAGTTTTTTAAAGGAAATATTTCAACGCATAATTAAATCGTGAATGAGATTAATGTACTTTTAAATAGTCTGCTCAACACATATCGTCTCTAACGATATGATAAAACTTTTAATGAATTTATGTTTTCATACAAAACATTGAAAATATATAAATAATACAAAAAGAAAAATAAGATTTTTATTCAAACAATTGAAAATGGCATTTTGTTATTAAATGTATAGCCAGTTATGGTAATAACAAATGAGCAAGGTTTGTTTAATAAGCCACTCACTCGAGTGCAGAAATACATTTGAAAGTCCGGATCTACTAACTAAGCATTTAATGTCTACTTTTTTTATCTCAATTATTTCAAATACTATTGTGTTATTGAATACACACTAATGAAAGAAATTTTTTACTTATATTCTAATTATAAGTCCACATAAGAGGTGCCAAAACCAGTTATTCTCAACACTATTCAAACAATTTGACGCTTGAATTGAATAATAAGTAAAAAACAATACATTGTTTGCAATGAGAAACCGTTTATTTGTATTGCATTCAAATGCAAACACAATAATAATTCGTAAAATTAGTGAGTATTCGGTTCACAACTTAAAACATATGTATGTATTAGCAAAACCACTAATTAATACAATTGGTGTTACAAGTTTTGGCGTTAATTAGACTATTATTAATACGAATTTGTTGAAAACAATCATTTATAAAATATTACAATAAAACAAATAAATATGATACTTAAACATATAAAATAAAATACATAATTACTGATATGAATGAATTTGGGAGAGATATATAAAAACAATTTATGCATAAAATAATTATAAAACTAATTTCGTTTCTTAAGTTGAGTTTGAGATTGAGTTTTACAGTAAGTGTTTAAATAGAAAGACGTGAATAACACCAAATAGAGGGGCGGCTGAGCCACAGACGTGCAGATCAATATCGTGGGCCAACCCGTCTGTTTGAACAAATAGGTGGTGCCGTACACGAAGAATACGACGAACTGAATCAACTGGACTTGTGTTATATACCTCTTCCACCACAAGTACTTCTGGACGGACGGCCCGAATGCCGACAGCGCGTAGTAGGTGTACATCAGCACGTGAACCGCGGAGTTAAGGATCGGGAATATGCCGTTCACTCCGGCCGTCGGCGCAAACTTCACGGCCAACCAAACGCACAGCGGAACCGACGAGTGATGGTAGACGTGAAGTGGGCTCACTTGTGACCACTTCTTGCGCAGTATGAAGAATATGGTGTCCATTAAGTCGATGATCTTTGAGATGAAATACCAGTAGACGAAAGTTAAGCGACGCATCTCTTGAGGGGTGATGTGTTTGGTGTCGTGCGGCGGGAACTCAAAGTTCATGAGAGCTCTGCCGAACTCGTAGGCGCTGATGGACTCGAAGAAGAAGTACACGTTTAGTATAACCATAAATATATTGTAGACAAATATAGGCCCTCGAAGTTCGTACGGCTTCCGGTTGGCCATCATTTTCGGCCCTAAATATAAGGCGAATAACAGGTAGGAGATGAGGATCGTGGTTAAGGGCCATATGCCGCCCCGAAATATCAATGACTCGTCGATTATGACATTAGTCCTGAGATTTCGGGCGCTTCTGTACAAAGTCATGACTGCCGTCAATGGGTTTATGACAACCATATCGGAAGAGTTGATCATCTTTTAGACTTAATTAATAATTAATAGCAATACAATGGATAATAAAATTGTTGGCAGTATTTGCGGGCAACAAATGACTGATAAAAATAAATATAAGACTCGATTTGTTGTCAATCGTGCGAAGACTTGAGAAAAAGTGACTGAAAAATGTGTGAATTTTTTTATATTCTTCGTCTCGAAGGACACAAAAGGGATGGATTCCTCTCTCA